AGTACTTTTTTTCAATCCCTCTTGTTCCTCTTGTCATTTTCAGTACTTCTGTTGAGAGGAGCTCGAGCCGATAATCCCTTCAAGAGATGAAAGGAAGGTCAGAAGAACAAGTAGACTAATCACAAGGCAATGCAACATTAGTCAAATCAGTCGAAAAAGTTGCCAGCTGCATAGTTTGAGTGTGAAGTAATGCAAATCTAAGTACCACAGTATTTCAAAATTGAAAAAATTTGTCACTTATTTGTTGACATCTGGGACTGGACTCGAATCCAGCTCATGGCGGTGCCTGGCTTCCAGAAGTTGTGCCAAATGGTGGGGTTGCTTCTTTTTGGGTTGAAAAAAATACAGTTGGTACTAATCTTTTTGCGATTACCTTATGGCTAGCCATGTCTGAAGCCACATACTAATTGACTGAATTAATGTGAATGCATTCACCAGGAAAATAATCTTGGACCTAAAAATTCCTTTCGTAGCTACCTTGTCCATATTTGTGTGGGTAGGGCTTTTTGGAGATCTTGCTGATTTATCAGGTTTACGATTAATTTCTTACATTTACAGGCAGATATTGTAAAGCCATCGTTTGCAACGAAATGGATGGATGATTTTGAGAGTTTCCAAGAAGCGCTGGATCAAAATTCATCATCATTCGTGACAGATCTGACGCGATCACTGAGCCTTGTACTCGATCAGTTCTATAAAGACCTAATTACTGTCTCAGGTAATTTAGCATTTTCTGAGAGTTTTTTTCTAATTTAAAAAACATTTTCATCTTTTTTCTTTTTTTTTTGCCATTACTCTTTAATTTTCAAGGGGAATAAACGCTCGGAAATGGGTGCTTTATTGATGAAAAATGAACTGTTTTAGTGTCTTCGTTGACGGGAGAAGGGATCGATGATTTCTTAAAACGAGCCAAAGATTGCATACAACAGTATTTCGATGTTTATCGCCCAATGTATGATAAAGTATTGAAAGATAAGGTACACATTTTACACTAATTTAGGCCGGCCTTGCTG